TGTTATCTCCCAGAAAAATATATTTACCAGGCTCGCCTGACTGAATCCATCTGCGTGAAATCTGCCTGGTTTTACCCATTTTCTTAAATTTTTTTTTTTTTTGCTTTGGAGTTGCTTCTCAAGCAGAGCTGCTGCTCTGACCAACCTGTGGCTGCCCTCCTGCCCCAGTCTTAAATATTCCCTCAACTTGAGTCTGACACCCTCCTCCCCTCCTGCTCCCCCTTGTTAGGTTAGCTTAAAATAATCTGCAGAGAAAGGAGTCTCTGGGAAGCGAGGCAGTGGCGCTGAAGTGATTATTTCCACTACAGTAAAGGTTGAAAACTGGTTACAATTATCACTCCTGGTTTTACATGCTAACAGGATTTGCCTTTGGGGGATTAAGTTAACTATTCTGTCACGCAGGTGAGTGTTTTGTTTTGCTCCTCTGAACCAGCCTTTCTCAGGCTGTCAGGGAGAGGAAGATAAAGGATGCTGTCCTCTGCTGCATCCCGCTTCCCAAAGCCCCGGCCGCGGCTCAAGGAATGCTTTGTCTCCCTGCTGGGGAGATTAATCTGGGCTTGGTTCAAGGTCATCTCAGGTGCATCTTTTTTTTTTTTTTGTGGAATGCGCTCGCACTGCTGGAGGAGTGTGGATCCTTTTAAAATTCTCCCAGGCTGCGGATCAAGGCGGGAGTGGGGGGACGGTAAGCTCTGATGTTTCGAGAAAATGTAAATAAAGAGACTCGGTCCAGACGCTCTGTGTGGTGTGAGGAGGGTGAAGCTTTCAGGCTGTCACTCTGTGGATTCCCAAGCTGAGGGCAAAGAGTTGCTCCAGCCAGAATTTCCACTTAATTTCTCATTTTGACAGAAAATATTTTTTTTTTTTTTGGTGGTCAACCCATTCCAGGGAATTCTTGGGAATGTCAGCTCCTGTGCTTTGGGTGGCAACTGGGTTCCACTGGGCAGAAGCTGCCCAAAATGGGGATCAAACCAGGACTTTACAGGAAAAAGTTGCACCAGGGGAGGTTTAGATTGGAAAGATTTCCTCATGCCGAGAGTGGTCAGGCATTGGAACATTGGAACAGGCTGCCCAGGGAAATGGTGGAGTCACCATCCTTGGAAGTGTTGGGAAAAAGTGAACGTGGTGGTGCTGCTGGACGATGATTTTAGAGGCCTTACCCAGTCTTGGTGATCCTATGGAAGAGGGAGAGCTCAGGGTGGTTGTGATTTTGGGGAGGAATGACCATTTTTGCTACAGCAAAGCCACATAAAGCTTTCAACAGCAATGTGAGATCAAGCAGATAGAGCCAGTGAGCAGCACAACAAATGGCAAGGAGAGATTTTTATTTTTTTTTTTCCCCTCCACTGATAAACTCAGGTCTGTTTCCATGCCTGAACTGCACAAAATAGGGGAATTAAGTTTTGCACTGCTCCAGGTTTCTTTGAGAGGATAAAGGCCTTGCAATTCCTAAGGAGCTGTGTTCTTCAAAAGTTCATTCCTCCCTGAGTCAGGATTACCTTAAACACCCCTGGGTAACCATCCCTCCTACCAACAGCTGGTGTGAGAGGAAGGACCAGGAATTGCTTTTCTGTTGACTTTATGGGGAGGCTGCAGCTTTAGGAGATGATTAGAATGAAACAAATCTGCAGTGAATTAATTGAAAGGGTCAATGTCTGTAGTTAATCAGTTAAAACTGCCTATGGCTACCCAGCTGTGTCTTTCATGTCAGCAAGAGCCATCTAAGATGGATTTGTTTGGTGGCTTGTTGGGGGACACATGAACAATTATGCTTTGACATTTATCTCAGGCATAGCTTTGCCTCTCTTCCTCCTTGCTTGTTTTGTAAAATTTTTTTTTTTTATTTTCCCCTCCTAGTTAGGTGGAGGTTGGAATAACTTGACTTAATGACACTTTTTCAGCCCTGATTTAGGTGGTGACAGTTATTAACAGTTCCACGATAAGAAACAGGTGTTTCAGCATGGTCCATCAGGCAGAAGAAGAACAATGCCTCCCCAATGTCATTGTTCATGATGTATTCAGTGACTGCTGGCTTTTTTTTTTTTTTTTTTTTTCCTAATGAAGATTTTATTCAACCTCTTAGGTAGCATTTACTATTTAGTATGCAGGCTTTGGGCAAGCTAGTGGAGTGGAAAAGCTTTTAATTTCTTTTTAATGCAAACATGGATCTTGCAAGACCTTGTCAAGTGATTGGAATGGGCTCAGGCTCTTGCTTATGTTCTCTCAGCATCACTTGGTGGTCCCCTGCAAGAAAATCCTGAGTATTTCTCGTGGGATTTGTGGATCAAGGAACAGGTCCAAGCCTGAAGGGATCAGGGAGACTCTCCTGGCTACAAGGAGCCACACCTGGGATGGTTTGGGCAGAAAACATCATTAGTATAATAGGGGCATTGCAACAGCTCCTGGGCTCTGCTGCCACTTCCCAGGCTTTCCCATGGATGGGTGGGTGAGGAGCAATGGTTTGGAGTAGGAAGCTGTCAGATATCCTGGCTAGTTTTCCTTCTGCTGTGGTGTGAACATGGATGGCTTGTCCTTGCTGGGATTGCTGCTCGTTTGCTTTGGGCTGTGAGGGGAGGGGAGCTGTGAAAGGGGAAGGGGTGAATATGGGGCACAGCAACCACAGCAGCCTTGTCCTGTGTCCAGAGTTATTCCCAGGAGGATCTCTGTGGATCAGTGGGGACCTGGGAGATGCTGGAGGGGATATTGTTTGATATCCCTCCAAGGAAAACTTCCTGCATCCTGAGCAGACTGCCCAGGTGATGGAAGAGACAGAGCTGTCAGTGCCTGGAGTGCAGCCTGAAGGATGCAGCAATGGGCATCTTCTCTTCTTCCTCACCCTGCAGGGTTGCTGTGGTCCAGCTCTCCCTGGGGCCCTGCCTGACTGGCCTTGCTGGAGCAACTCTTGAAAACAGGGCTGGGACACCTGTAGCCTCTCACGACTTTATTTTGTACCACAGCCCATGGATTTGTCCCCTACCCGTTGATTTTTGATGTCACAAAGGGTGATTTTTGATATCGGTGCAAGGCCCATCAAAGATGCTCGACAGGTTCCCTTGGCCTCCCCTGCGACCCAGTCCTGCTGCTTGGGTTCAAAAGGAGAAAGAAGGCTTAATTTGTGATAAATAATGCATTTGTTCCCACTTAGAGGTTGTTTGATCTCCAGAGTCTTCACTCCTCTGGTGACAAGCAGCTCTGTGTTACCCATCATGGGGTTTTAACAGACCCATGCTCAGCTAATGTATCCCTGCCACAGGCAGAGCTCCCCATTATTACTTCCTTTCCAAAAATAATACTCATAATAATAAAAAAAAAAAAAAAAATCTGCTCTCCCGTGGTGGCTTTCCACAGCACTTTCTCCAAATGAAACAATTAATGAACATTAAACATCCTTTTCCTGGGAAGGCAGAGATCAGGAGAGAAGATGGAGTATCCCTTTAAAATCTCCCTGCACATATGAACCTGCACACATTCTGAGAAGAATTGGAAGTGATGGTTACCAGTATAATATTTAAATGAGTGTTAATTACCATAAACCGCTTGGATTTTAATGTCTCCTTCTGTACAGTATGTAAATCAGGGCTGGAATGGGCTTGTGCACATGCAGCGGGCCTGTGTGCTGTGGATGGAAGGAATGTTTTCCAGGACTGGGATCTGGCCACCTGCTTTCCATTCCAGTTCACAGGAGCAGTGAGGATGAGCAGTGGCCACTCTGGGCAAGGTTTCCCCTCTCATTTCCAGATTTCCAGAGACAGCCCTGCCCTGGGGATGGATTGTTCTCGCTGTCTCTTCCCCCTCCTTCCCCAGGAGGATGCTGGTGAGATGCCTGAACGACTCAGGCTTGGATCTGGCTGGAGGGAAGTCTTTGACAGCCAGTTTTATTAGGTGCTACGGGGTCTTTGTGGGGTTTTCAGCATCCAAACCATGAGCAAGTTGATTCCATGCTTTGCTGTACCTGCATCCACACCCTTCACTCCCCATCCAGCCCCCCGAGCAGAGGGCAAAGGGACTTTGCACGGAGCTGGTGGAGACCAGCAGGACTTCAGGCACCTCGGTCCCTGCCCAGCCCCCTTCTTGTCCTTCCTCTTCGCCCCCCTCTCCCTCCGTGGGGACCTTGTTTGCCTTGCAAAGTGGTCTCGTTATAAATGCATCAACCTCTGCCGGTCTCACACGCGCAGCCTTCATTTAGCCCTCCGAGCTCAATTACATCTCAGGATGTCTTGGGGTAATTAAGTAATATTAGAACGTTTTCTTTTCTATTTTTTTCTCCCTCCCCCCCTTCCCTAATGCACCTTTCAAAGCACAAGCCTTGGCTCTCACCCACTGGAGCCCACTCTGAGCTCTCCCTAATGCACCTGGCCACGAAGGCAGGCTAATTACATTTCTGAAGGATGTCATTAGTGTCGCCTTCCCGCTGGGTTCCGAGGGCTGGCACGCAGCAGGGAGCGCTCCCTTGGGTGTCCTTCAGCCTCACCGTGCTCCAGGAGTGGCCGGGCTCGGAGGGGGAGCTCGGCCAGCAGAGCTGCCTGGCTTTGGGCTTTGCGGTGAGCAGTGCTTCTCCTTGGATGTGCTGCATCCTTCAGCTCGTGGTGGCTCGCAAATGGGAGCTGATTAACGCTCCCAGAGCTCCTGTGAGATAAGTGATTGCTCCTCTAATGATCGGCTGTGTATCTTTCGGACGGAGCAAAAGGAGCAAGGAGGCAAACTCTGAGCACGGAAAAAAAGATAAGTGATGCTTTTGGTTTACCTGACCATGCCACCTCCAGAAATCTGGAGCTACCATAACAGGCACCTCTGGCACTGCTTTCGGTCCATACACCTCTCTCTTTTATCTGGGCAAACCCCAATGAGCTCTGCTGGCTTCGGCAGAGGCTTCCTCAGAGGGAAGAGAAACCAAAATTTGTCTGTGTGGGGAGCCCATTGTTTGCATCAGGGACGGGATGCTGGTTCCCAAGGAAACAAAAAGGAAATGATGGTCACCTTATTATCTTCCTTTCTCTCCCCAGGTGGTCACAAGGACAATGTTCTAGTTTTATCTAGTTTTAGACTACCACAGCTCCCCTGGCTGGCCCAGTGTGAGGTGGCCACGGGCCTCCCACAGGTGAGTGCTGCTTTCAGGGGGTGTTAGAGGCTCGTAAAAAGAAATAATGTATAATTCACGGTAAAAATTGCCATGGAAATTTCTGCTTGTGTTGTGCTCGGTTACGTTTTGTTGTCCTGGAGAGATGCATTAGCTCTGTTAATGAGGCTGGAGCTTGCTGCCTCTGGAAAAAAATGATTATCCCAGGTAATGCCTACCCCTGTGGGGAGCCTGATGCCCCCCCTCTCCCTGCCTGGCTTTTTGGGGCAACTGCATAAGCATTAGGGCTGAGGATACTGCTGCCATGGCCCTGGCTCACTGCTAATCCAAGTGGGATGGTAAGGTATCCTAATATTGGATACCTCCTTGAATCTGGATGGAAGGAAGGGTACATTTCAGTCCAAGATGTCTCACACACTCTTTTGGTTTTGATTTATTTTTTTCCACTTGCAAGTGGATTTTTTTTTTTTTTTAATCATTTGGCCCAAACAATAAGCAGGAACCAAAAGGAAATAAAATCTTTATATCATGTAAAGATGGACTACAGAGCTTTTGTAAAGACCTATGTTGTGGAAAAAGAAAAACCACTCAAAGAGGGTCAGGCACAACCTGGGCAGCTTATTCAGGTCAGTCTGGGCTTGGTGGCACCGTCTGATTTTTTTTTTTTGGTGGCACCTGCTTTGGAAGCATCACACCAGAGACAAATTTTCTGGAGCTGTCTTTATCCTTGGGCTTTGTCCTTTGCTGCAACCTTGTGGGTTTTAGGAAAGCCTGAATCTGAGAGGCCTCTGTGCAGGGAGGGATGGGCAGAGTGGCTTTTCCCTGTCGTGCACTGGGGTGAAATTAAAGGGGTTTTGGGAAAAAAAGCTTCACTAACAAAGCTAAGCTGCCCTGGGAACTGTTGTACTCAGAGGCTGATTGTCCAAGGTGTGGGAATCCCAGGCTTTCCCACTGGTCAAGCTGCCAGCTTGCTTTCATCTGGAAAGAGAGGTGGACATTAATTGAGGGGTTCTATTTACTTCTGGGGGCAAAAGTAGGATCTGGGCTGTGGGGACCCTGCCAGGGGGAACTGCTGCATGCAGGGGTGGACTGGAGCAACCACCTGGAGGTGGGGGACCAGTCTGTGTCCCAAAAATCAGGGGAGGCTGGAGAGAAACACAGCCAGGAGATCAGTCCAGGTGAGAGGAGAAGTGACTCACACAGCATTTGGGGAGGGGACAAACCTGCCTGGGAGGTAGGAGAGTCCTAAACCTGTTCATTTCTGTACACCGGGATGTTCTCAGGAAGCTGTTCTGGCTCTGGCCAGTCCCATCTGTGATGAGCTGGCAGGGAGTTTATGTAGGTCCAAACCGACATGAAATCCTCTATTTTCTGCTCGCTGGTGGCTGCGTGGTTCAGCTTTCCTGCTGAAGGCAGAGTCCTGGCAGTGTCCACAGAGGGACAGGAGGCAGGGGCTGGAAGCCTGCAGCTGATCCAGCCACTCCTGGTGTAATGGTGCTTATCCAAAGGAGTGCTGGGACCATGAACGCCTCATTTTGGCAGTGTGAGGAACAGCCAAAATTTTTGAAGGCTCCTGTAGCCTTTCATCAGCTGCAGGCCAGGGCTGTGTGTGTTCCCACACGTGTCCCAGGTCAGGAACCACGGCCTGTGGTGGCTGCAGGGGTCCTGGGGGGGATGCAGAACATCACCTACCACTGAGGCAGGAAAAGTTAGAGGAGAAACAAGAAACTTCTCTGATCCTATTTAGACTGCTTGAGGTCGCCCATGCTGTAATGACACATTCTGCAGATTACAGAACCTAGTAATTACAGCTAATAAGTCCAAGATGTGTAATTACCCCGGAGCACTTGGAGCTAGAAGGCAGAGTTAAGCACGGCTGTTACACACTCGTTAGGTGATCCATGGCTTTCCTTGCTCCACACGTGAAATCCAGGAGCTGCAGGAAGTGTAGCTGCTCTTTCCCCCATCCTCCTCAGTGTTGGGTGGAGGGGAAAAGCCAGCTCTTTTTCCTGCTTCCATTTCCCAGCTCTAATATCCCGTTTCTTTCCTACAAGGGAGACAATTCCTGCTCGGATTTTCAGATCTGGAGTGGGAGGCTCTTGAGGGGAGCTTGTGTTTGTTTTCTCTTCCCACAGCTTTGCTTCCCTTCCTAATTAAAGAAGCTCTTTTGTCAGCCCCTGAATTTCTTCCCACCCTCCAGTTTTCCCAGAGAGGCTTCTTTACAATTTCTGCCTCTAATCAATAGACAATTTATATGCAATAACTTTGCCCAGAGAATAGGGAAGCAGGGATCAGCGTTTCTCCTGCAATTCCGGTGCGCTGCAGCTGCTGACTGGAGGTCAATGCAGCCTTGACTGTGACTGATTTTTACTGTCTTTGGGCAACCCAGCAGCAAAATGCAAGCTTTGGAAAACCTCAGCTCCATGCAGGCTGTAATGGATAGCACTGTGCGACCTGGCAAGCACGAGAAGATATGGGAAGACACGAGCAAGGACCCAAGACAAAGCCTCAGTCCTCCATGAAACTTCACCCTCTGTGGCTTTTCACACTCTTACCCTCGCAGGGAAGAGAGGATATATCCAAGGGGAATGGCCACTTTTGGGTGTCCCACGGTGTCTCACAGTGGTGGGATCAGTCAGGGATGCTCCTGCTGACACGCTTAACAAGCAGGGAGGTGCAGCCTCGCAGTCATTTGGTGTCTTATTAATCACATTTAATGTGTGGTTTGCTTTAGCATCGGCCATTTAAAAATTCCCTGTCGGAAAGGTTACCTGGGTAATTACAGGGATAAATCTCAGGGACGTTCTTGCCAAAACAAATGGAGCGTTCAGGCCAGGGATGGACCCAAAGAAGCCGTAAAAAGGGCGTGGGATGACAGACCAGGAAATCTCCACCAAGCTGGGAAGAGCTGAGTAGCTCTGGAGATAAATGAGGCTTTTGGGTGGCTGGGGAGAGTTCCTGCAGTTGTCCTTTCTTTTAGAAAAGTTGGAGGAGGTGGTGGTGCTCAACGATGTCTTGAACATCATGGGATGCAGATTTGGGAAAGGACCACACTGTGTGTGAGCACAGCCTGAAGGATCCCAGGAAAAGGGATGGATTAGGCTGAGCTCATGAGGTGCCTCTTCCTGAAGGGTCTCAGGTATGGCTGAGGAAGCTGCAGGTGACCTGTTTATGGAGCAGAAGTGCTGGTGACAATCCTTGGTTAGCATCAGAAACATTCAGTCGTTTTAGCCACTGGCTGCAAAATCCACGTTATTTGGTTCTGTCAGTGAAGGAAACGGAGTTGGACCTGCCTGATTGTGTTGGGTTTTTTTATATATCTGAAGTGAAAAGCTATCAGAGCATCATGAAGCTCACATGTACCCCTAGAAACCTGGTGGCAGGGAATGGCCTCTCCTCTGCAGCTCGACATCGTAAAGCCAACCTCACACCCTTCCTCCTCTTCAAACTGTGGCTGTCTGCTGACCAGAGCAGGTCTCAGATGGAGACATTCATTCACCCTTTTTCACATCCTCTGTCTCCTGAAGGCCGTGTTTACCCGCCTCCCCCCTTTCTGGAGAGGATGAGGTGAGTGCTTGGACAGAGAGGTGCTGATTTGGGTTTCCTTCCGTGCTCAGCACTCAGAGGGATTAGTCATGGGTCACACTGTCACAATGATTTAAGGTGCAATGACAACAGTATTTTAGAAGTCAAATATTCTGTATTAGAAGTAAGAAGAAATATTAAAGCCCTCAGTGTTTTGGATTGCTTGTAATTGCAGGATGTGTTAATTGCAAAGCAAGAAGCAGAGGCTGGGATAGGAGCCCCAGTGCCCATGGCTTACATTATGAATAGCAAGAACAGTACACGGGACATCATCCTGATGAAAGCAAGGCAAACAGCTAAAAACACTCAGAATACTCCTCTGAAAGCATCCCCATGTCTCTGTGGTATCCCAGCCCTCTCTGCAAGCGCTGCCTGGCTTTTGTCTTTTACACTTACGTTAGCTGCTTCCAACTTTCTCATCAGCCTCATCTATAAATTCAGACTGTTCTTAAATAAGACTGGTGCCACACAAAACCACTTCTCCCATCCCTGTGTGCTGTCTAACGATTATTCCCTTATCCCTTTATATAACTGAATCAAGCCTGACACTTAAAGCACTCCCTTAGGGAAGTTATTGAATTTAACAGGGCTGAAACCAACAGGGTTCTAGAGAAACACGCTAAAAACCTGGGCAAGATAATATCCTTCCAATAAGTTTCTGAACCATCCTATAAAATTCTATGGCAAGAATGAACTTCCATGGGATTTTTTTTTTTGCCCAGAAAGGCTAATTTTGAGTAAACAGACCTTGGTGCTTTTATTGCTGACCCCCAAAAAATGCAGTGGATGCTGCTGTCCTGCTTCTTCTTTCCCAGGCAGAAGGATGTTAAGGATGTTTTGGCTCTGCTCCTCAGCAATTCGTCCTCATTTCAATCCCACATGGAATTGTGTCTATTCCAGAGGCAGAAACAGGGCAAAGATAACTCTCCAAACTTTTCCAATGCTTCCCTAGTCTTCCCAAGCCAGGAACAAAACCCCCAACACACCAGCTTAGGCCCTCAGCTCTGAGGAAAAGATATTTTCCTTTGGACAAGTAGGATTAGGGAATATCCAAAGTGTTGATGCTACAAGGGATTTTGTATTACCTGGGCTGATAATTCTCCCAGGAGCCTGTGCAAATATTCTCATGAATGAAAACCACGGAGCTCCTTCCCTGGTATTTGCAATTCCTTTTATTCACGCTGACTTTTCCTTGCTGAGATTGCTCCCACAAAGGGCGAATAAATATTCAAAGTGCTCATGCCTGAAACGCTCCTGCCAGTGTTAGGAAACGTTCTTTTTATTATTTTTCTCGCTGCATTCAAACGATTTCAATTGATGAACTTAAAAGAAACTCCTGAGTGGAAGGGGAAGGTGACTCAGTGAGGGAAGAGAAGGATCACATGGTGGTGTTAATGTCATTACCTACTCACCAAAGGGAAAAAATCCCTAGCGGT